CTGTGGGGAAGGTATAGTACTACTGTTCGTAGGACGTTTTGCATCTTAAATAAGCCAAACTGGTCTTTCTGATATTTTTGTTGCTATGTTTTCACTAGATTCTAATATTAAGGTAAATCTTAGAGTCAATTATTCTAGAGCAGGGTTCTATGTGGGGGGCTCGCGGTGATATACAACGGTGTTGCTAAAGTGGCAAACATCTTCAGAAGTCATCAACAATAAAATCGTTTTATGAAAAACAGTTATAATCATTTTACTAACATTTACACTCGTGTGGTAGTTTTTCCAGACATTTCCATAATATATCGTAGAATCTTACAAAAACAAATTGCTTTCAAGTCATAAGCTATTCCTGCGTTTAGTTTTTAGAACAGGGCTGTTTAGTATCAAGCCATCGTTGCCTCCCGAAATATAATAAAAATTTTGTTTTAGCCTTGAATTAAACTTTCTATTCAAAAAACTTTACGTTCGCAATTTTCAACATTTCAGAGGCTTTAAAGAAAGCGGCTGCTACACCACATTTATAAGATCCCCGTGCTTTAGTCGAGCGAGAAAAAGCAATTTGAAGACAGTTTGATAGACAGACGTTGAAGAAAATAAATTTTTTTTCACTCTCATGGACCGCCAAAACGTGCTCTTCCGCCAACAACTCCACATCCATTTTTTGCTGCACTACGCAACTTTGTTTTACCTATACAGAAGTATACGATAGAAGATGTATCGATTCTTATCTCCTATCGAACCGGCGTTCACGAATTTACTCCCGATGCCACAAGATCGGTAAAAAAAGAAAACAACGAGGGACGGGAACTTGCTAAAAGAAGGGCGTTCTGCTTCGTAGTTCAAAACCCCCGTGCTTATCGTCTGTAGCGTGAACGCGGAAAAAATCTTAATCTCAATAGCATTCTTTTCAAGATGTTTTCAAAGCAATTTCTCAATTTCTGTTTTCTCGATTGTAAGTCATTTTCTACAATCTATTCTAATTTGTTTTGTTTCGTTTTATTCTTGATAACAAACTGTTCGGCATACAAGTATTTTAGTATAAAATATATTGGAAATAGTACTTTGGGCAAAAAACAAGAATAAGTTACATCAGACGTAGTTCAAAGTCGCGTGCTTATTTTTTTGTAGCGTGAACACGGAAAAAATCAATAGTATTCTTTTCAAGGTAGTTTCAAATCAATTTCTTTTTAGCCTACACGTATTTTAGTATAAAATGCATTGGGAATTGTACTTTAAACAAACCCAGAAATATGTTACGTCAGTCATATACACCGAAGGTCTGAGCATCATTATTAACAACGTCACGCGTAGTGAACCGAAACTGCGTCTTAAAATGTCCAGGTTATATGGGACGCGGGTTCTCGCCATCATTCGAGGTGTCGTCACGTAAGTGAGTCGATTCTTTCGCGAGAGACACAATAAAAGTTAAGACAGAAACTATGCACCCTCTGAAGCCACCTTTACCGCGGTGTTCACAACCCAATTCAAGACGAATCTTACGTTCACTTTCTGCACTAGAGGTAAGGCGTTTTCAAAGCAATTTCTCAATTTCTGTTTTCTCGATTGTAATTCATTTTCTAAAATATATTGTAATTTGTTTTCTTTCGTTTTTTTCTTCTTAACAAACTGTTTGGCACACAAGTATTTTAGTATAAAATACGTTAGAAATTGTACTTTGGGCAAAAATCAAGAATAAGTTACGTCAGTCGAAGTTCAAAGCCGCGTGCTTATTTTTTGTAGCGTGAACACGGAAAAAATCTTAGAATTCAATAGCATTCTTTTCAAGGTATTTTCAAAGCAATTTCTGTTTTCTCGATTGTAAGTCATTTTCTAAAATACATTGTAAGTTGTATTGTTTCTTTTTGTTTTTTCGTAACAAACTGTTTGACATACAAGTATTTTAGTATAAAATGCGTTGGAAATTGTAATTTAAACAAACTCAGAAATATGTTAAGTCAGTCATATACACCGAATGTTTCAGCATCATTATTAACAACGACACGCGTAATGAACCGAAAAACAGTTTAAACGCCTTCAAATGTCCAGGTTATATGGGACACGGGTTCTCGTCATCATTCGAGGTGTTGTCACGTAAGTGAGTCGATTCTTTCGCGAGAGACACGATAAAAGATAAGAAAGAGACTGTGCATCCCCTGAAGCCACCTTTACCGCGGTGTTCACAACTCCAATTCAAGACGAATCTTACGTTCACTTTCTACACTAGAGGCAAGGCACATGCAAGCGAAGTGCCGAGGCAGAGAAGGGGTACTAGCGGGTTGGGGCAAGACCTTCTGAGGCACGGTCTACCGCAACAGCTTTTCCACCGGCTCACTTCGCCTTCAAGGCCAACGCCGCCGCCACTTCGCAACCGCCAGCTCAGACGCGCAAATGGGACACCAAATCCCGATTCGCTCGGGCGAAGCTGCTGTCGAGGCGTAGATTTACGCCCGATTTCGCTCTGATTAAGCCTCTTAAACAGGATTACCTTTCGCGGAATTCATCACGCGTTGCGGGAAATAAATTATGTTCCAACGCTGGAGGTTGTGAAGCGAGTGGTTTCGCTGGATTGTGGCAATCGACGAATTATTGCGTTCGAAATAATTATTGTTTATTAGCGTATTCTGAAGGTAAATATTTCTTAAAAACAATTTTGATTATTCGATCATTTAAATATTTTACTTCTCACTAATTACACTGTCATTTTTCTCCAGCAAAACTATACCCACAAAAGCAATGTTTCATATTTAATAAGAGGTGCATTATCCGATAATTCCACGGGAACAGAAGTTTTAAAGATTATGCAATATTTGATTATTTCTTCATACCTCAAAGGTGGTTGTAGATAATAATTGATAAGATGCAATTTTATGACATTAAAGGAAAAAATATTATTCTAATTTATATAAAAAGGGAAAAGAAAAGATAAGATGTTATTTCTTAATATTTTAAATAATTTGAGTTTTTCGGTTTTATGTACTTCCAATTCAAACTTCGAAACATTTCAAAAATATATTTCAAAATATACTAATACTAATAATGTTAAAATAAACTAACATAACTTTGAAGCGTACTTCAAGCCAAACCCTGTTCTTTTTCAAACACCCAATGTCTGCCGCTGTTTGAAGCCACTTTCGAAGATTCATTGCATGCAATTATTTATTACTATTCAAAATATATCTAGAACATTTAGAAAAACTGATTTAAATTGATGCTAAAATAACATTATTTCTGCTTTATATTTTTGAAAACTTTAATTAAGAAGTTAATAATTGACTTAAGTTTCCATTAAAAGTAATAATATTAACTTACCTGTGAAGATACTGCCTTCATGATGTTGAACTTGCTTATGTTAAATCTATTGCACGTAACACTAACACTAACGGTTCTAATAAAACGCACCAAGCAAACGGTTCATCGCGGACATACGGACGACTATAGCTTTAAAATCACTAAGAACTAAGCAAAACCATAGAAGTACGTCGTAACCAAGCAGGTTCCCGTTATCAACTGCGGTCACAACTGAACTGCCAAGAAATGGTGGCGCACTCTGTGATTTTTCATGTCAACTACCAGCTTTTGCAATTTCTAATGCAATTGGCGCCACACGGGTATGGCTAGGAGAGCGTCAGCTATTGTCAACCATTCCGAACGCGATAAAAAATGTAGAAAAAGTTAAAAACAGGCGTAAATCAAAGGCTATTGTTGATGCTCAGACGTCAATAAAGAATTTAGTCGATGGACAATGAAAGTATTTTTAAGCGATTATGTGATATACACGTGAAGGTCTAAAAACAACACGTATCGTTTATTTAAGTAAATAATAGACTATCGTATCTTTTGCGCTAGAATGAACCGTGGCGATTACAAATGAACCGTGGTTTTGGACGAGGCGATTACTAAAGCCAAGTTTGAAATTTTAAAACAAGTATGTCAAAGACGCTTTTGTACGATTTTAATGGAAACTTATACATTTTTAGGATAATTTGTAATATCCAAGGCGGCAGCCAAATTGACTCCCCATATCGACACAGCTTTCAGCTGTGATTCCCTAGGGCGAGACACCTAGCTCGGAAAACCCCCTCTAGAAAAATGACAACGTAGTTAGTGAGAAGTAAAATATTTAAATAATTGAATAAAAAAATCGTTTTTATGTAACATTTACGTCGTGTTTCTCCACTATTACATATTTGTAGAACTTTTGGTTTAAATTTTGAAAATGCTGTTCTACGAACAGAAATACCTGCCTTGTGAACGTTTTTAATTCTAATTTTGCTTAATTGCTAGCAATGCTCATGCTTCAACTTCCATTCCCTCTGCTGAGTCCGGGAGATTATTAGCGGCCGGGACGATTACCGCTAGAGTAGATATCTACGGAGGGCCCCCTCCCAAGTCTACGAATAGTTCAGAGCTGTAACTCACGTTCCACTAGAGAAAAAAAAACACCGTCACATTCCAAGATGTAAAATGCATTACACTTACCGTACTAATGGCCTTAACAGTTGAAGCACTCGGAAGTACTTAACACTGTCACGGTAACGTGTCGAGACGCTCCTCGCGAGGACGAAGGCGGGAAGGGCGGTGATGAGGGCGAGGGTGAGAGTGAGGGCAAGGAAGGCGAAGATAAGGGCGAGAGCGACGGCGGCGATGAGGGGGAGGGCGAAGGCGAGGGCGAGGAGGGCAGCGATGTCCTGGCCATCGCTGCCCTCCTCGCCCTCGCCTTCGCCCTCCCCCTCAGGCGGACGCCGTCTCTCTCGCCCTTTATCTTCCGGCCTTCCTTCCCTCCACTCTCACCCTCCACCCTCATCGCCGCCCTCCGTGCCCTCGCTGTCGCTGGTCGCCCTCGCCCTCGCACCCTCGCCCCTCTCACTCTCGCACTCGCTCTCGTCCTTGCTCTGGCCATCGCTGCCCTCCTCGCCCTCGCCTTCGAACCCCTCCCCCTCAATCGCCCGCCCTCCGCTCTCGCCCTTATCTCCCGCCTTCCTTGCCCTCACTCTCACCCTCACCCTCATCGCCGCCCTCCTGCCCTCGCTGTGCTGTCGCCCTGCCCTCGCCCTCGCCCTCGCCCTCGCCCTCGCCCTCGCACGCGCCCTCGCCCTCGCCACTCTCGCACCTCGCTGCGTCCTGCTCTGGCCATCGCTCCCCTCCTCGCCCTCGCATTCGCCTACCCCTCATCCCGCCGTCGCTCTCGCCCCTTATCCTCCGGCCTTCCTTGCCGCTTCACTCTCACCCTCACCCCATACGCCGCCCTCCGTCCCTCGCTGTCGCTGTCGCCCTCGCCCTCGCCCTCGCCTTTGCCCTCGCCGCACTCTCCACTCGCCCTGCGCCTTGCACTCTCGCACCGCTCTCGTCCTTGCTTGGCCAATCCGCCCTCCTCGCCGCTCGCCTTCGCCCCCCCCTCATCGCCGCCCTCGCTCTCGCCCTTAATCTCCGCCTTCCTTGCCCTCACTCTCACCTCACCCTCATCGCCGCCCTCGCCCTCGCCCTCGCCCTCGCCCTCGCCCTCGCACTCTCGCACTCGCCCCTCGTCCTCGCCCTCGCCCCTCGCCACTTCGCACTCTCGCACTCGCTCTCGTCTTGCTCTTGGCCAGAT